TAAAACAGTTTGTAAAAAAAGACATAAAATGCTGAAGAACTGATCTGTGAAGCATAAAATATTATGGATTGTCATTCTAAACTTGCGGATTATTTTGTAAATAAAAAACATATAAATACTTGAGAATCCATTCGAGGTCTGCACATCAATGTTTGTGGTGGACTTTGGCTTTGGCTCGAATCACTCGAATTGAAAATGGTAAGATGAATATTCGGACGAGTATTGGTTGATGGAGAAACAGACGTAATAATTGCACACTTGAAATATAACCATACAAAATGAATAACATAAATCAGAATTATAAAATCATATTTTTTGGAACATAAGAGTTAACATATAGGTCTGAATCTGATTTGGAGCGATGTTTCCATTTCATTGAAAAACAATGATTTTGTTGTAGAAAATGCAACACAAATATTATATACACAATGAAAAACTGTGTAACAATTCCGACATATCTCGCATCTAGTACATCGCAATTCAAAAAGGCTTGAAAATATGAAAAACTGGTTTTGCATAAAAAATTGTACATATATATATATATATATATATATATCCAAATTTTGAGGTCTAATCAATGAATCAGTTTTGAGAAAACCAATAAATATGTTTGGAGTTTGGTTTAATTATCACTCAGACAGATGAAACATTTCTGAACGCTAAGAGCTAAATGTATTGTATGTTAACGATGTGTTAGTACATTGCAGACATAGGTGTCTAATAATTATGGGGGAATGATGCAAAGAAAGTAAAAGATGAAAATTCACACTCTATATTATTAAAAATGCTACTGGAATTCAATATGCATCATTTTTGCCTATCATTTTACTTGTTGAAAATTTAATTATTTCCAAAAGCGACTGCTTCTTACGAATAGTCTATCCGTTAAAATACTACAACGAATGTGCAAAGGTACCGAAAAAATGTCAAGAATCTTAGTAAAAAACAATCATGGCAAATTTCTAAATCAGATTTGTGATAAGTTCTAGAGAAAGAGGAACAAACATACATAATCACTGCTTGAACTATCACCATTTGCATGAGATGCGTTTATTTGACGCTTTGGGCTGGAACCAACTGCCATGTTCTGAAATACTAGGTAAGAGAACAAATTTTCTTATGAAGCAAAAAAAAAAAAAACTGGTATTTCTCATATGACATGCAACAACATCGTTATAAACGTATTTATTAGCAGTTTTGAATAACAAAAAACCCCATCAACTTATATATCTTCATGACATAACTTCGGCAACTTATCAATTCAACTGCAGGAAAAAATGTAGAAGGCAATGAAAAAAATACCTTGAAACACTCAGTAATCTTCCGATCATTTTTGGGTGGATAACCATCATTCCTTCGCCTTTTTCGTAGTGGTTTTTGTTCCAAAGATTTCACAATTTTAGTGTAATTACTTTTGTCAGGAACTTCTGGCTCACGATCAGATACCGAACCCGTGCTGCTTACATTAGATAATTCACTAGCGACTGGTATTGGTAGATTGGAACCCGTAATTGCAATTGATGTAGGTACTAATGGCGTCGTAACGTGTGTCTGAACAATTTCCCCCAGCTCCATCTGAAATTGGCATACGAAAATGTTTATTAAAAAAATTCAAAAAAGTCAATCTGATGCAAATGAAAAAGATCATCTATCACATTGCGACAAATAGCATCATGCGGTATTTAATTAGAGAAAGAGCAAACAAATGACCGTGTATAACATTATGATAGTAACATCTTTATCAAAGTAGATAGCAATAATGGATCATGCATTTTTAAATAGAATCCGAGAAGTTCAATATAAAAAACTACAACAAACCTTTTCTACAATCTTATTGTTTAGTTCTTCGCTTTCATAAAAAGTTGGAAAAGAATACGTAGTATTGAATTTACTGATTGTTGTGTCCGTTTTGACCACGTCAGCTGAACCTTTTTTAAGTAGCTACAATATATTTCATTAACAGAAGTTTCAAAAAGAGATAATTCACAGACAAATAGCAAAGAAGAATTAACTCGACAAGTTCATATATAACTTAAAATGATCAAAAATCATATGATGAGAAGGAAAATTAAATTGCCATGATCCGGTCGAGATCTAACAAAGACAAGGGATGAATCAGTGATTTGTTCCAACAGGAATTAGCCTCTTCTTGAAATCCTAAATCGTACAAATAAACGGTAAAATACCTTCTCTGACGGCAAAGTCCTGTTCGCTTGCAGACCAGAATTAAATGCGCGTCTTTCAAGGTCAATTCTCGGTGGCTCACCAGAAGAAGTATCGAAATCTTCACACTGTACAATATCACCGGTAACAGCGTCACCACTGGTCATAGTGTATCAAACAATTCCATAGTCTTTCTTTCTTATTGCATTAGCACTCTTCTTGTTACATTTACAAATGAGCACTTTCCTGGAATATTTAATCGCGAATTACATAAAAACCAACAGTCTTCATATAAATGAACTGAGACGTCATATTAAACTGGCTTGAAATGTTTACAAAATCAGTGATATATTGATGCAGAAAGAAATACACTTTCAAAAATAATACACATTACTAAAAGTGAACAAAATTAAATATGATGAAATCAGTATTAAGTGTGGATAGAACGAAACGAAATAATGTGTGAAAGCAAAGAAGTACATGAGTTTCTCTTCGACTCCTCGATACCTAATGTATTAGTGTAAGAATACATGTCTGCTATGCTTATAATCAGAAAAATAATGACATTTTATCCGAATCAATGATCAAGGATTGCTAAAAGGATGTTATCATGACCCATCGCTAGTCTAGTTTTTCAAGTTTCTATGAACAGTTCATCATGAAGTTCGATATAACAACGATATCACAGCACATACTATCGATTTTCTTGAAACACTTCGGCTATGATGTTAACAGTTATGATGACCATGAGGATGATGATGAAAATGCCGGTGACGACCACGATGATGACGATCAGCATCACCAACATCATTGCTACGATCCATCTTATGCGCCGCTCCTCCTGGTCTATTCTGCGGCACCTATGTTATGTTATGTGTATATGTATGTTGTTTTATGTATGTGTATATTGTGTATGTATGTGTATGTGTGTATGTGTGTGTGATGCGTGTGTGTCAATGATAGTGCCACCGACCACAATATGCTCTGAAAACGGCCATGCACTTCTCATGCTTTCTTTAGGCATTGTTTCTTGAAGTGCACGACGAATAAGCAAACTTTTGCGATCTCCAGGAATATGCTCCAATATCATATGAAAGCAAAGCAAAGTACAGGATGGTACTGTATCAGAAGAGAAAACGCGGTAGCTGCTCGTAAAAACTTGAATAACTGATAATTGTTTTCTTATTATCGATACGAACGTGCGTCAATTTTTGCAAATAACATCACTGTCATGCGAGAAACTGTTAGGTGCTAAAAACGCGGGAAATGTTGGATTCTCCGCTACAACAGGTCAAATGAAGACTAAAATTTAAATCATACTAGTAATGCCAGCATAGAGTGCTTTTAGCAAAGCAAAGTACGTACTTTTAGCAAAGTACGTTCGAAGAAGAGCTATGGATGCACTGGAAACAGACACATATCAAGAGAATGTAGCACTTTCCTGGTTGATTTACAGCACTGCAATCATTTCTGGAAGATTAAACAACTCCCTCCTCGAATAATCTGAAAAACAATATGCTCATCCACTCTTCCCCTGCCTTCTTCTCCCGAGATATCCAGGTGGAATCCACTCCTAATAACTGAAAATCTCGCAATAAAAAAAATCAAATTGACACATTTTTGGGATGGAAAGATGAACAACAGACGAAATTCTTATAACAAAATGAATGAGTGCTTTTGGTAGGAATGAAAAAGGCGGCGCTACGCTGCAACTATGCGACATAAAACGACAATACAGCTACAAAACCATCACTGCTTTTATACACAGGCAACAGTCTGCTTTGCGATAATACTGCATCTATTGGCTCAGTGCCACTTTACTATTAATGTCGTGCTACATCATAAACGTAGTAGCCGCAGGAAGTAGCAGAATGCAGTGCAGTTGTGCAAATACACTTCGGATGGACATACATTAATGCAGGGGACAATCGCGCGATTAAAGTTTTCTGCATTTCTACGAGAGGTACTGCAGCATTGATATGGGTCGAAATGGAATGAGGATGACAGTGTGTGATTGAAAAGGTTGTTGAAAGCGATGTATCTGCGAGAATCCAGATAGTCAGTTGAAAGGTCACAGGTCATCCGCTATACCGATGCATATAATTGTGTGTTTCGGCCTGTAGATTATACCAACAATTATATCATAAAGCAGAAGAAATGTTTGCATTCATGGTAAGGTTTGCGTACTGCTTTGCTGCTGCAAGAGGAATGCAGCAGAGAGGTAAGAAGTAGTAGTGGTGGTTGATATTCGATGTGAGGAAATGGAATGCTAGCCAGTAAGCTTATCTTTTCAGGTTTTTCAAATGAATTGTAAGACAGAGAATATGAAATTGGAACATTTTCGAAAGAAAAGGTAAACCTGCTGCGTGAGCTAGACTGTTATGTCACCTTTCCCTTGCTTGTGTCCTGTTCGATTACCGTGATAACGATGGCGATATTCGCAAGAGTTTCTAACGAAGATACAGGAAAAGACTGGTACCGAGAAGACTGAGAGTGAGAATAAAGACATCCGATCAATACTCACCAATCTAATATTTGATAGAATACAGTGCGGTACTTCCCCCTCTGTTCCATTGAATTTCAGCATGAACAAGCTGTAAATTCATCCAGTCATTCTTCCATGTTGCAATCACTGATTAGTCGTAAACGAATTTTACAAAACGCTACCTCATCTGACGAGAGTGGGATTCGAACCCACGCCTCCGAAGAGACTGGTGCCTTAAACCAGCGCCTTAGACCGCTCGGCCATCTCGCCCTTGGCAACTTCTTCCACTCTGCATTATATAATTCATTGAATACCAATGTTATTCGATAAAAGTCGGACTCACGAAATATTTTGACGAGAGTGGGATTCGAACCCACGTCTCCGAAGAGACTGGTGCCTAAAACCAGCGCCTTAGACCACTCGGCCATCTCGCCCTGGTATTATTTCAATCATAATACCATATTCGTCACAAGAAATCTCGACAACTGAAAGTTTAACCTCTTATTTTTCGTAAAAAGTTAACTTCCTTATGCTGCGCCTATTGTTAATAGAATAGCAGCTCTACTGGACACGATGGAAATGGATAATTACCTCTTGTCAGTGATAATATCATATACAGGAGAACCATTTCAGATAAGTTACAGAGAATATAAAAAAACATTCGGAAGAAGGCGACTGATGTGGAAAATGTAGCAGAAGAAGCAACCCACTCTTCCTCTCATTATTTTTATTGATTATGCATAATCTTTCCCGTAATAATTTCAATTTAATCATTTCTCTATGCCGTTTAACAATTCATCCCTTCGGACATAATATTATCGGTAAGTTAACAGATGAAATCTTTTTTCTCTGTCCGATTTTTGTTCCAGTTTTCAACGCAGCTTGATTCCCTATCAGTTAAGTTCACTGATCATTGACAATTATTTTAAAACTTTCCTGACCATTCAGCTCGAAAACTCCAGCACAATTTTGTTAGAAACTTAATGTTTTTGAAAGAGATTGTTATCTTAAACCCAAGAAGGCTATTACTAGTATGTTAATTACTTCTCATATTTTTGGAGTTCTTGGTTGATCTAACTTATCGGTCACAAAGAATTTTGAGAAGTATTGAGTCCTCCTAAACTTTTGTTTCTTGGATTCGATACGAAAACTCAGAATTTTTTCCTTCAGATATAAAACTTCCTTAAACTTAGCAAGCGATACATCTCCTTTTCAGTTCGAATCGTAAATTGAATAATACTAGTTTCAGCTTCCTCTTTCTCTATATTGAAATCCCAGCTATTGAACAAACATCACGTTTAAATTATCATTTCGGACTTTTTCACTAAGAAGGAAATGACAGTTTACAACTGCATCCCTTTGGTCCTTTAAATTTGAGTCATTGTCCGTCCTACAATAAAGTTGGTCACGATTTCAAAACATGCTCCAATCTTGAATATGTTGGAGGTCAAAATTAACTCGTCTGTACATTATAATTAATTGTCAACTTTATTAAATTCACTGTTTTAATAAATTTTTTTCCAATCATAATACCATATGTTGTCTCCTCATACTCTCTAGTTATAGTAAACATTTGCAAAAGCGTTCTTTTTTCGCCATATCTGAAATGTATATCAACTCTGCATTTTACTCATGGTATGAAAATAAATTATTGATTTGATTTATACACAGTGCAACATGATTGTTGAGCAGATGTGTATATAATAGTCCACCTGTATTCGTGAACACTGATTTCAAATTATGACCACATATAAATACGACGAAAGACTTGGCACACACACGAACAATACTCACATATAAAATATAATCAATATATAGCAAGATCAATAAAATAACAATATTATCGTTGTGACTGCAATAAATCAAATTACTCGTTATTTATCGACTAACTTAAAATCCTTCGATTGCTCTCTCACATATTTAGGACTCCTTCTAAAGGAATAGAGGAAATACTTAAAAGAGAATAGTAAAGTACCCGACAAACTCAAACAAATTTGAAAGTCTCTAGTAGTGAGAAAAAAAAAACAAAAAGAAGTGACAGACTTGCATTCATGATTTTAAAAAAGTTCCAATTTGAACGAAAGTACGTGTTGCCACTTGATGGTGTTGAAGTGATATAAATCCAATCTGTACGAGTTCCCAAATATTTCTTCCCATTGTGCTATACTATTACCGATGCAGTACAACCACTTTGCAGTACAAATATTTCAATTGCGACAAATTTCAAACATTCCTATGACATTATAATTTAAATCTTCACATTTGTAACATTCTGTTCAGATATATTCCAAATAATCTAAGAACTGAATGAGTTATTTCAACATTAACAGACGAAAAACAACAAGACAAAATATTAATGTAATATTTTTAAAAAAGTTACTGAGATGAAGAAAAAGTAACAGGTGTAGGGAAAGTTTGACATGGATATTTGGAGAAAACTTCAGGACTACAACAAACAGCATTATTCAGAACACGAGCAGTAGCAAAAGTAGCAGTGGCAGAAGTAGTATTGCTACTATTACTGTCAAGAAGCGCCTGTTGCTTACGAATTCGTGCAGATCGAGACGGTCGACTATACTGCAACCTTGCGATATCACGACGACATATTATGCAGCTCATCCGCATTTTGTTCTCGTTGATTGCATGCTACAAAAAGATTAATAACAGAAAGCTAAAAAAATTATTTACATTTTCAAGTGAATTTTTGAATCCCGAAACAATAGTTTGATCAAGTCATTAAGCAAAGGAAATTACAGCAAATTTTAGTATCTATATTATGTATAAACCTTCTGGTTTGTCCATTTAAAACAATGAAAACTGCTGATCAAAGGCAATAATTTAAATAATAGCTTTTAAGGTACATATGGGTTTCGAAGAGTTTACATGGTAGAGTATGAGCATTTCATTACACGTTTTTTGGTAAGAAACGAAACTGGTTACAGAAGTCAAATTTGTTTAGAGATGTGAGCATACATAAGAACGTTGTGCTCAACATCGATGCCAGTCTAATCAATACTATTATGCCTTTCACAAAAATCTACACTCATACAATTATAGAAATCTCGTGATACAAACATACACAAATGAATTCGTAGATAAATTCAATCCTTACATAGGTTTGCGAAACCTTAAATGATAACCTACTTCAATTAACTGAACAGCACAATTCCGGCAAAACACTTTGTGACTACAAGGAAAGGCTCGAACTGATGCGCGCCGCTGCACACACACACAGCATTCATCATCCATTCCATTGGCACGATCTTCAGGTTCACAAGCAAGTTTTGTTTTCAACCGCTTCTGAAAATTTCCAGTTTTTATCAAGAGTTCATTAAAGTTATGTATAGGAAACTTCACATGTATGTCATGTCATACTAACAGGGGAAAAAAGGACTTCCTTAAAGAAAAAACTTAGGACTTCCTTAAAGAAAAGACTTCATAACTACGATTTAAGAAGATTCAAAAACTTTGTGTATACAAAAATGCAATAAAGACAATACCAGAAAATGACAATCTCTGGTCTATTTGATGATAAGCAAAATATAAGAAATGTTACAATCGTTTTACAATAAATATCAAACTCACCGAAGAGATTAAATATTTATTCTTAACAAGCTTACTGAAGGAACCTTATCCTTGATATTTAATTTTTTTGTTAAAATTGAATAGCATTCTATAACACTTAAATTACTACTCAAATTTAGTTGGCAGAATTTGGTGAAAGGCGAGAATATGGATTATTACCAATACTGTAATACTTTTTCTTCTATTACAGTAGCCCAAGATGTGAGATAGATTTCATTTCACATTTTTTAGAGCTTTTCGCCAACTATCTCGAGATGGTTGTCTTGCAAGAATAAGGATAGTGAGCAATATATAACAGATCTATAATATTGATGTTTCAAGGATTACGAGATAGCCAGATACAGTAGGAGTAAAAGACAACCATCACGGGCAGGTAAGCTCAAAGACTGATGACAGTGCATTATTGAACAAAACGGATGGACATTAACGTCCAGCTTGATTAGATGCCTTTCTGTCTTTTAAATATGGCCTTTTTAGAAACACGCAGGCCATCTGGATCAAAAGATGCAATGTATGTATGCGCGTATGGGTTATTTGTGGAGTGCATACAAAAGTGAGAATATTTGTCGTTAAGCAATGATACTGAAATCTGTTGATGGAATATTCCATCCACAGGTCAAAACTAATGGTCACTTCGAATAACACTCATAATGGCTTGTCTCCATTGCGTATAAGAAATAGAAACGGAAACCTAATGAATATGGATACCTGAACATGTTTATGGAGTTAGGATCACACTGAAATTCTGCGAAATCTTTGCAGTCGTAACAATAAGGACGTAACGTGATCACGGATATGGAACGATAATAACTGATAAGAATAGGAATGATTATTCAACACAAATAACTACTGGAAATCTTACCAACAAAGCATCGATATGTTGTCGTTGCGGTGAGGGCAACCTGACGATCGAACAGCAAGTGGGCTCAGTGTCCAGTAAACAGTGCTCTGATTCAGACTCAGGTGGGCGAACTCGTCGCCTCAAGAAGTGTACTAATTCAGATAGTACCATACCTAGCGACCCTTGACCTCATAGACAGAACCGAACAGACCGAAACACACAGCAAGCAGTGATCTATTGGCTTTTGCCACAACACAACAGATCGTCCCCGAAGATGTCCTAGCGACGCACAGACAGATAGACAGACAGACAACTCATTGTCTACTGCTCCTCCTCCGTCTAGACAGTCCCTTTCCTTCTTTCTCTCCTCATTTGACATATAATCGATCCTAAATATTTCGTCTCTTTTTCTTTCATTTCTACAAGAAAGAGAGAATGACATAGAATTAGGTTGGGATGATGACACACGCCTGCGCGCATTGTTATTGTGCGCCTGGCACGCCCATTTGTCTAGTATGGTGTATCTGTTTGTTTGTCTAGAGTTAGGGGACATGCAAGGTGACCCTGGCGACAATCTGGGGTCATGCATCGATGCACTTTTCACGTGCACCAGGGATTGGTTATTACCATTCCGGTGTTATCAGGTTAAATAGCCATCTCTTCCTCAACTGATCATCTCTCTTAACATTCTCTAGTCCTGCAAAAAATCCTTTATCAAAATACAAACTACAAAAGATGAATGCACGTACAGAATACTTTTGCAAGATGACACGGGTAGATGAAAAATGTGAAAGGCAATCAGTGCAGAGTGATAGGCTTGTTGGAAAAAACAAACAAATCTAAATAATCAATGGCCGAAATATGTAGAGATAAAACAGAGCAGAAGGAACATCACAACTTACAATACAAAAATTGTGTCATCCAGACAACAGGAAAATTCAATTAGACAGAATATTTGGCATATTACGATAGATGTATACAAATGAAATGTACGATTTGAAAAAGCTG